ATGACGGCTGTTGTAACACCACACAAGGAATGTTAGGTGAGAATGGCCACAGTGGCTCCAAAATCTGATATTGAGTTGATAGTATGATGTTCAGTTCAATTTCTTCCGGAATAGAGGCGGATGAAGGTGGTAGTAAAGAATGGCAATTCAGAGGCGACAGCCGATGGTAGTTCAAACAGCAGCTATGACACAACAAAGATTCTGGGGCCTCCGCCGAAGATGGGCTGCAGAGGAAAGTCCTCGAAAAATTAGGTCGCGAAGGCAGCGCCTCCTAGGGTTGCGGAGGAGCTACAATACGGCTGGACTCCAGATGAACAGGTCCTTTCGAGAAGTCAGCCCCCAGCCCAGGCTCACTCCGGTGGTAGTGGGTGCGCGGAGAACCCAGCCGAGTTCACCCAGGCCGCGGCTGAGATGCTGAGGTGAGGTGCAGCGGGGACAGCCAGGGCGCTCCCAGGCCTCCGCCAAGATGGAACGCGGAGGCGGCCACAGTAGGCCCCCAGAACGCAAAGGAGCCAGACCGCTCCCCAGCGAAAGTGCAGAAACAGCAGCGCCCACTGGGATCGCGGGAAAACGCCGGGAACTCGGCCTTCGCCGAGCCGAACAGAAGCTCCGCCGGACCACGCTGGGCTGCAGATGGACGGCGGCGGAAGGAAGGCCCAGCGGCTCGCCGGCTCCAGCAGCCCAGCGGCTGCGAGCAACACCACACCCACGCGGCCAGCGGCCGGCGGCCGATCAAGCTGAGTCCGCCGCTTCGTCCCTCGGCCTACCTCCGGATGGACCAGGCCGGCACCACAAAGCAGGGCCAAGACGCTCGCCGCTCGCCGCCACACACAGCCACCCTAGTCCTCCGCAGCCAGCAGCAGCAGCCAGGCTCCGCGATGACACCAGGAGGAGCGGGCTCAGTCCAACACGAGCCGAGATGATGGTAAGTCCCTATAAGGCTCCGCCGGCAGTATTAGGAGGGAGCGAGCAGGCCGGGATGGTAGTCATAATGGCCTCTGCTCTACCTCCTTCTTCTCCCCCTCTTCCCTCCCTATTCCCTGGATATCTCACCAGTCACCCCCCCAAGGCCCCCTACGGGGTCCTGGGGTGTTGCTGGTCAGGGGTCAATAAAGGGAAAGCAGAATGGGGGGTGGATGGTTGCGATATGGCCTGGATTGAGGGGTTTCGTCTTACCCCGATGGAGAGGTTGCTGTTAGCATGTCGCCATCTTAACCGGAAGTTAATGCTGGAATGGCACATGAGAAGGACCCTGAATTTTGAAGAAATTTGTCTCCAGCTCTGTGATCTGGACAGCAGACCAAACACTTACAAAATATAGCATGCACACTTTCAAAATACTTCTTCAATAAGTATGGGCCCTTCTATACTGCCATATAAAATCAAGATTTGCTTTGAATTGGATTATATGGCAGTGTAGACTCAGATAATCTAGTTCAAAGCAGGTAATGTGGATTATCTGATTTGATAATCTGGATTACATGGCAGTGTAGAAGGGCCTTTCCAGACAGGCCTTATATCCCAAGGGCTGATCCCAGTTTTACTATTTATCCCAGATTATCGGGCAGTGAGGACTCATACAATACAATTTAAAGCAGAAAACCTGGGATCAGATCCTGGGATATAGGGTGTGTTTGGAAGGGCCCTAAGTCAGTGGTGTTTCAAAAGCTTGCATGGTGTATTTTGTGTATTTTTGGTTGGCCCAATAAAGGTGTCACTGCTTTGTGGATTTTGGGTGTTATTGCATGTTTAATCCTGCAGATAGTTTGGACACTTACCACAAGGATCCACAAACACTTACCACAAGGATCATTTTGGCAGCTTTTACAGATGGCCTGAATCTGAAATCTAATCAAAATCTAGCAAAGAATACTGCCACTATCTGCCACTTGTTTTGGATGTTATAGCAACTAGCTGAATACCAGTTGGTTCATATTCCACCTTTTCTCACAACATGGGCTCCAATACAAATACAACAAGATTCAGATAAAAGACAAAGATCAAACTATAACTTATTTGTAGTTTGTACAGACTGTGAGTTCCACAGTCTGGGGCCACTTCCATACAGTTGAATAAAATCCCACATTTTCTGCTTTGAACTGGAATATATGACATATTGTGGGATTTTTTGCCTTGATATTCTGGGATATAGGGCTGTGTGTAAGGGCCCTGAGTCCTCACTGCCATATAGTCTAGGTCAAAGCAAATATTGTGGGATTTTTTGCCTTGATATTCTGGGATATAGGGCTGCGTGGAAGGGCCCTGGGATGATCAGGTTGTGAAGCCTTTGGTAGTCTTATGAAACCTTTATTAATCACAATGACAATCTACAAGGCAAATGTTTCAGACTACCCCAATATTATCCTGATCTGAAAACATACAGACACATATGCAATATTGACATCAATTGGGTGGTTGGGTGGGCACTTATATACATCATACATTATTTTGTTAGATTTCTCTTCAGGGCATTTGGCATTTTTAAAGAGAATAACAGCAGAGCTTATACCTCTGGATATTTTAAGCATTCCTCTACAAAAAGGAATGTAAAACAAAACAAATGTCTAGAATTATTTTTAGTTTGAATAAGAACTTCATTCCAGTGTCACAGAAGTTGTGATCACTATCAGGCTACAAAACTCGAAACAATGCATATTCTCATCAGTGTCTTTAGGAGCCCCTGGTAGCACAACGGGTTAAACCCTTGTGCTGGCAAGACTGCTGACCAAAAGGGTGAGCTCCTGTCTGTCAGTTCCAGCTTCCCATGCGGGGACATGAAAGAAGCCTCCCACAGGATGGTAACACATCTGGGCATCCCCTGGGCAACGTCCTTGCAGACGGCCAGTTCTCTCACACCAGAAGCGACTTGCAGTTTCTCAAGTAGCTCCTGACATGGAAAAAAAAATCAGAATCCTTACTCAAGATCAAACCATGTTGCACATTCCCTCATTCTGTATTTACAGTCTTGAACATGAGTCATTTAAAAAAGGAGGAGAAGTCGCAACCCTCTGCTCTTGTCAGCTGAATGATCCCAACTCAGATTCCAGAGGGATGGAGACAGGCAAAACCAGACTCTCTGCCCTATGCTCCCAACCAGACACAGAGAAAACATTATTGTGCCTGTTATTCCTGTGGTTATTTATACTCACATAGTTATGATACAAATTATACACCCATCCTGGTATTTTGTTAAAGCTGCAACTCCAGTTCTGTCCGCACTGCGATTTTTTTTATACCTGTTTTGAATGTAGGACACAAGATGCTATTTTAACAGAAATCTCAGAGGAGAAAAGTTCCTAGTTTAATTCTATTTTAATGCTTATATGTATCAGATTTTAAAGTTATATATTGTATTGGGTTTTTTTTTTTGGCATTTTTGCTGATTTGATTCTATTTTAAGACAAAAGGTTAAAGATAAAGGTTTCCCCTTGACATTGAGTCTAGTCATGTCTGACTGTTAGGGGTAGTGCTCATCTCCATTTCTAAGCCAAAGACCTAGCGCTGTCCGTAGATGCCTCTAAGGTCATATGGCTGACATGACTCCATGGAGCACCATTACCTTCCAATCGAAGCAATACCTACTGATCTACTCGCATTTGCATTTTTTTGAACTGCTCAGTTGGCAGAAGCTGGGGCTAACAGCGGGAGCTCACACCACTCCCCGGATTCAAACCTGTGACCTTTTGGTCGGCAAGTTCATCAGCTCAGCGGTTTAACCCACTGCGCCACCGGAGGCTCCAAGACAGAAAAGCGGGATATAAATATAATGAAAAGAAATAATAATAATCATCATCACTGCATCATTATTCAGGGGACAATTCAGATATAACTATGAGAAAAAGACACTTTCCCTCGGGTTGCCGTGAGTTTTTCTGGCTGTATGGCTATGTTCCAGAAGCATTCTCTCCTGACGTTTTGCCCACATCTATGGCAGGCATCCTCAGAGGCATCCATAAATGTGGGCGAAATGTCAGGAGAGAATGCTTCTGGAACATGGCCATACAGCCCGGAAAACTCAAAGCAACCCAGTGATTCGGGCCATGAAAGCCTTTGACAACACACCTTCCCTTGTTATTTAGTCAATTTCCCAACATGATTCTGATTAAAAGGAAAACAAAATGCAACTTCTGGTGAGTGCCTTTGACTCCAGGTTTCCTCTCTGTGCAAAGCACCAAGTGGCTGAAGCTGCATCTCCACTGTGGAATTACTGCGGTTTGACCCCACTTTAACTGCCATGGCTCAATGTGATGGAATCATGGGAGCTGTAGTTTTTTTACCTTTTCTGCTAAAGGATGCTGGTGCCTCACCAAACTACAAATCCCAGGATTCCACAGCACTGTGCCATGGCAGTTCAGGTGGGGTCACACCGCGTTAATTCTGCAATGGAGATGCACTCCTACACCCCGACCAAAATCACAATAAGAGAATGAATGGGTGAAAAACTGCAATGAAGCAACTTATTCAAACCTGCTGGTAGGCTGACTGACCCTTAAAGAACATGGATCCTGCGCCCAGCCCTGCACGATCCCCGTTTCTTTCTACTACACTATTTCCCAAATACTAAAGATACACATATATATTGAAGCCCATTTTCCTTACCAGCAATCCCAAGGCAATCAATTACATTTTGAACGCGAGAGGGTCCCCCAGCACTTTTCCGGGGAAACAGCCTTGAAAGAACGTTGGCTCGCAGGCATTCCAGGAAGTATCCTGCAGCGTTCAGAACAGCCAATCACGACCTCCAGTTGCCGTTCGACATGCAGGAATGTTCCAATCTTCCAGCCAATGAGAAGCCGGCAGAGTGTTAAAGTGACAGTAACAGCCTCCAAGGCTTCATCGGTTTGGCAGCAGAGGGCGCTGTGGTGCTCTCTGGCTTGAGGAAGGCCAGGTTCCAGAAGCATTCTCTCCTGACGTTTCGCCCAAATCTATGGATGCCTCTGAGGGTGTCTGCTATTCTCTTTAAAAATGCCAAATGCCCTAAAGAGAAACCTAACAAAATAATGTATTATGTATATAAGTGCCCACCTAATCACCCAATTGATGCCAATATTGCATATGTGTCTGTACGTTTCCAGATCAGGACAATTTAGGGGTGGTCTGAAACATTTGCCTTGTAGATTGTCATTGTGACTAATAAAGGTTTCACAAGACTACCAAAGGCTTCACAACCTGATCATTCCAGGGCCCTTCCACACAGCATTATATCCCAGAATATCAAGACAGAAAATCCCACAGTATCTGCTTTGAGCTGGGTTATCTGAGTCGACGCTGCCATATATGCCAGTTCAAAGCATATAATGTGGGGTTTTATTTAGCTGCAAAATACACCATGCAAGCTATGGATGCCTCTGTGGGTTATCTGATCTGATAATCTGGTTTATATGGAAGTGTAGATCCAACTGAAGTGAATCATTAATGAGTTTTTCTTTTCGTTTTAGAAGCGACTTGAGAAACTGCAAGTAACTTCTGGTGTGAGAGAATTGGCCGTCTGCAAGGACGTTGCCCAGGGGACGCCCGGATGTTTTACCTGTTGGAGGCTTCTCTCATGTCCCGGCATGGGAAGCTGGAGTTGACAGATGAGAGCTCACCCTACTCCCCGGATTTGAACTCCCTGATCTTTCGGTCAGCAGTCCTGCCAGCACAAGGGTTTAACCCATTGTGCCACCGGGGGCTCCTCATAAATGAGTTAAAACCATATGTAAACCTATGGATGCATCTGCACTGTAGAATTAAGGCAGTTCAGCATCACTTTAACTGTCATGTCTCAGTGTAATGTCTCAATCTCCCCAGGATTCCACAGCATTGACCCATGTCGGTTCAAGTGCTGTCAAACTTGTTTTCATTGAGCGTCTCATGGTTGTCTTTAAAGGGCTGTTAAGATGGAAGTTCTGTGGATACAGAGGGACAATTCTCTTTAGTTTTTACCCGGTTTCAGTCCCCAAATGTTATTGAAGGACAACTCCTATCATTTTTTATTATCTGCCAAGCGGACTGGGGATAACGGGAATTGCAACCAAATAGCACTTGTGGCTCTAAGGAGTGGGACAAATTAAAGGGCATTTTAAAGTCAGGCATCATACCCTCAAGCCTTGTTTCTAAATCCAAAAAACACAATCTTGACTAAACAGAACAAACTGGAGCCTTCCAGATGTTATTGTATCACAACTTCCATCAGCTGTAATCATGATGTCTATTGATGAGAAATCCAGCATCTGGAGGTCCACATAAAATGACTTGGTGGACTACATTCAGCCCACGGGCACTGAGTTTGACACATGTTTGACACACTCCTAGTCCTGCAAGAAGAGTCTGTGGCCCCTTCTACACTGCCATATAAAATCCAGTTCAAATAAAATAATGTGGATTATCTGTTTTGATAATTATATGGCAGGTAGAAGAGGCCTAAGAAACATAGTCTTGTCTTGGTAGTCTGAAAATTATATGCATTTCTTATTGTTGTGGCTATTTTGTGCTTTTTTCCTGAATGATGGTCAGTGTGGATTCGTACAGTATTCCTACCAACATGAACTGTGAACATGCACAGCATCTAAGACTAAACGGCAAATAGTGATGGGAATGCTAACCAGAAGTCTTCTTTTGTTTTCGTGTTGGGAGAGACAATCTGGTTGAGAAACTGTTGCTGGAGCTTGAGAAGTTATTTTTTACACATTATCACTGCCATGTCCATAATATAACCCATTGCTATTCCATACTTAATGTAATACTGAAAAATATATATATTTATTTTGCTAGTGTTACTCTTTGCCTTATTATTAGTTAGTTTTTAAATATATATATATTTGGAGAGAGAGAGAAATTGGGGCTGGATCAACACTGGTGCAATGACGACAGGTCTGGCCAGCCAAGGCCGTGAGGGACAAGGGACACACAAATGCAGGAAAGGGGGTGCTATCACTGTATATTAAACATTTCCTTGCTGCCACCAAATATTTATTAAGATTTCTTTTGCTGCCACCATTTATTAGTTCACAGGCCACGTCTTTACTAGAATGTTTAAGAAGCCACACACACTCTTCAGGTGAAATAAAATAAGAATGTTTATTTTGTTCTTGAACAGTACAGATGCGTAACGGTTTCAACAAACTGACCGGCTTTACATGTACAGAGAGTGGTTCTATACTTGAATTCCTTAAACACACAGGAATACAAACAGGTTGTTTTGAACCTTTTGAATCCTCTTTCCACACCAGCACTCTAATACTATAGAGGCCTACTATATTTCTTCTCCTTCTCTCTGAAGGCTTTAACTATTTTTCCTCAAAGAAGTATCTTTCTAACAAACAGTTTCCAAAACTCTTCCTTCCTTCCCCTTCAAATCTCCTAACCTAACCTTTAAACACCAAACTCCTAACTGACTAAACTATGGCTGCCTTAGCTCCTTCCTTTCCCTCTGGCTCCACCCATCTCCAGTTGCTAAGCAACTGCCTCCAATTTCACCAGCCAATCAGACTGCACTTCCAGCTATGAGGCTGAGTGATCACTCCACCGCCCTGCTCTCCTTAGCTTTTCCAAGCCAGGCCTATTTATTGCCTTTATACCAACACTGTAAGGTAGACCAATCCGTTACAACTGCCATATAATTCAGTTTAAACAGCCTGATATGAGAATGAATAAATAATTCAAAGGCACTAGATCTCATCTGATCTTGGAAGCTCAGCAGGAGAAGCACTTGGGTGAGAGGTATTTTAGGCTGTACTTTAGGCCGCCCTGAGCCCCCTCGGGGGTGAGAAGGGTGAGAAGGGCGGGGTACAAATTTACGACATTTAGAGGAAGGAATTCGAAAACCCACCACTATGATTGACAACTGGAAAATAGAGGGAGAAAATGTGGAGGCCATGACAGACTTTGAATTTCTAGGTGCAAAGATTACTGCAGATGCAGACTGTGGCCAGGAAATCAGAAGACGCTTACTTCTTGGGAGGAGAGCAATGTCCAATCTCGATAAAATAGTAAAGAGTAGAGACATCACACTGGCAACAAAGATCCGCCTAGTCAAAGCCATGGTATTCCCTGTAGTCACCTACGGATGTGAGAGCTGGACCTTAGGGAAGGCTGAGCGAAGGAAGATAGATGCTTTTGAGCTGTGGTGTTGGAGGAAAGTTCTGAGAGTGCCTTGGACTGCGAGAAGATCCAACCAGTCCATCCTCCAGGAAATAAAGCCCGACTGCTCACTGGAGGGAAAGATACTAGAGACAAAGTTGAAGTACTTTGGCCACATCATGAGGAGACAGGAAAGCCTAGAGAAGACAATTATGCTGGGGAAAGTGGAAGGCAAAAGGAAGAGGGGCCGACCAAGGGCAAGATGGATGGATGGCATCCTTGAAGTGACTGGACTGACCCTGAAGGAGCTGGGGGTGGTGACGGCCGACAGGGAGCTCTGGCATGGGCTGGTCCATGAGGTCACAAAGAGTCGGAGACGACTGAACGAACGACATTCATGGGGTTGTTATAAATCGATAGGCAACTTGAGGACACATTGCACATGAAGGTGAATGACAGAGAACTTTGAACGAGGGGACTGTTAAGAAGTTGTATTTTGGAAGTAACTTCAAACTCATTATACAAATAAATAAATTATTGTTACCTTAGGTCTCTGCCCCTATATCGCAGGATCTGATCCCAGATTATTTGTTCATCTCAGGGCCCTTCCAGACAGGCCCTATAACCCGGGATCTGATCCCAGGTTTTCTGCTTTAAACTGGGTTATATGAGTCCACACTGCCAGATAATCTGGAATAAACAGAAAACCTGGGATCAGATCCCGGGTTATAGGGCCTGTCTGGAAGGGCCCCCAGATGATAGGGAAGTGGAGACTCGCATAATCCACTTTAAAGCAGATAATCTGGGATCAGATCCTGGGATATAGGGCAGTGTAGAAGGGGCATTACTCTCATGGCACCCTTTTCTCCACAAAGAGATTCTTCACTGCTTTTAACTTATCATCCTCAAGCTCTGAATATCATTTCAATCAAGGTCCTTGATTTATTCCCGCTTGTGGTACCGAGTTGCCAGAATGCAAATCTGCAGGTTTTACTTTGTGGTTTCCTTTTCTTTTTCTACTAGAACCTCAAGCACCACCAACCAGTCAGATGGTGACTCAGATAGACAGAGAGATGCTAAGGAACAGAGCACCTCTGGGCATGAATTTGTGGTCAATACCTGAACTGAGGCTGGATCGACATTGCAGTTTGAACTGCATTACAATGGTCAGTTCAGAAACTCATATAATGTAGTACAGTGCATTATTTGGCAGTGCTGATCCAGCCTCAGTTCATAAGATGTTTCAAATAACCACCCCAATTCCACACCTTCCAGCATAATTTTTCTGCAACCTAGGTGGTGACCAACTTTACAGGGAGTCTAATGTGTCCAGTGATAAACAAGTAAATGCCAATCTACCTCTTTTTTTTTTACTGTTTCTGCATAGGTTATATCAGGCCCCATTCTACACTGCCATATAATCAATTTTATGAAAACAGATAATCTGGATTTTATATGGCAGTGTAGAAGAGGCCTGTGTTAATTATACTCCCTCAGTCTCAGGCCCCTTCTACACTGCCACATAATCCAGATTATCAAAGCAGATAGTCCACATTATCTGCTTTGAACTGGGGGCCTTTCCACGCAGCTGAATAAAATCTCATATTATCTGCTTTGAACTGGGATATATGGCATGTGGACTCAGATATTCCAGTTCAAAGCAGATATTGAGTCCTGGCCCTGAGTCACCTCCCCCCCCCCCCCCCCCCCCCCCCCCCAGTAGAGAAAGGCGGGGTATAAATAAGGTAAATAAATATTCCGCCTTGATATTCTGAGTTATATGGCTGTGTGGAAAGGCCCTGGATTATATAGTGTACACCAACATATGATCCAGTTCAAAGCAGATTTTATATGGCAGTGTAGAAGGGGCCTCAGAGAAAGGCCATGGCCAACCCCTTCTGAACACATTTTGAGAAGAAAAAGCCATAATAGGGACTCCATCCTCAACTTGAAGTAACATGAGAACAGGGGGGGGAAAGCAGGATGAAGAGCATTTTCTTTACAGAAGGAATGAAGGAAGTTGCAGAGAATCTTCTTAACTTGCAACAGATGTTATATAAGAGGCAGAAAAACCTGTTTATTCTCTTTTCAAAAAGAACATTGATCATATCTGATTATTCAGGCCTCAAAAAGTACTGCTGTCAAGTTAAATGTTATTTTTGGCTTTGTTCTGCCTTTGGTTATACCTTTGTGCACACTTATGCAAAGAGAGAAAAAAGTGGAAGGGAAATGACATCAGGCTAACTATTTGACTCCAGAAGCAGAAGACAACTCCCCACTCATGCCTAATATAAAATCCCTGAGTAAGGATGCATCTACACTGTCAACATTGGTGATCACTCGTGTCCGAGTGGGATGGCCTTCCAAGCAGAGTGTCTTGGTGGTGGGTCTGTAGGTGACTCTGGAGCCCACTTCTTGATCCGCATGTTCTTCTGCAGTGAGGACATTGGTTTCCAGATGGAAGAAGGTCCTGGTCAGGGTTGGCTTGGTACACCTTCCTCTTGATGCATTTCTCACTTTCGTCCTCCGTTCGTGCCGCTTCCAATTCCACAGCACTGTTGGTCACAGCTGACCTCCAGTTAGGGCGCTCACGGACTAGAGCTTCCCAGTTCTCAGTGTCTATGCCAGTTTTTAAGATTGGCTTTAAGCCCATCTTTAAATCTCTTTTCTTGTCCACCAACATCCCATTTTCCGTTCTTGATCTGAGAACAAAGTAACTGCTTTGGGAGATGGTAATCAGGCATTTAGACAACGTGGCCAGTCCACTGGAGTTGATGGCGTAGGAGCATCGCTTCAATGCTGGTGGTCTTTGCTTATTCCAGGACACTGACATTTGTCTGCCTGTCTTCTCAAGAGATTTGCAGGATTTTCCGGAAGCAGCGCTGATGGAATCGTTCTAGGAGTTGCATGTGACGTCTGTTGAGTGTCCACATTTTGCAGGCATATAACAGAGTGGGAGAACAATGGCTTTATAAACAAGCTCCTTGGTCTCCCTATGGATGTCCTGATCCACAAACACTCTTTTTCATTTGGAAAAATGCTGCACTCGCAGAGCTCAGGTGGTGTTACATTACAGTCTCAATGTTTGACTTTTGTGGAGAGATGGCTACCAAGGTAGTGGAAATGGTCAACATTTTCTAATGTTACATCATTAAGCTGTATTTCTAGCATTGCAGAGAGACTGGCTGGTGCCTGCTGAAAGAGCACTTTTGTTTTCTCAACGTGGAAAAAGCCATGCTTTCGTATGCTTCTGCAAAGGTGTTTCGAGTAACTTGTAGGCCTTCTTCTGAATGAGCACTGACTACATTATCATCAGCATATTGCAGTTCTATAACTGATGTTGTCACCTTGGTTTGGCTTTCAGTCTGCTGAGGCTAAATAACAGACTGAGTTAAATGTACACAGAACAGGTATGGGCAAACTTCGGCTTTCCAGGTGTTTTGGACGTCAACAACCAGTAGACTGTTAGGAATTGGAGTTGAAATCCAAAACAACTGGAGGGCCAAAGTTTGCCCATGCCTTCTGTAGAATGGGTGTAGTTTGACACCACTTTAACTGCATTGGCTCCATGTTATGGAATCCTGGGAGTAGTAGTTTGGTCAGGCACATTTTTGGCAGAGAAGGGTACAGACCTTCTTAAATTGCAACTCCCATTTTTCCATGGCATTCAGCCAGGGCACTTAGGACAGCAAAAAAGGTTTTTCCTTGACATTAAGTCCAGTCGTGTCCGACTCTGGGGGGTGGTGCTCATCTCCATTTCTAAGCCGAAGAGGCGGCGTTGTCCGTAGACACCTCCAAGGTCATGTGGCTGGCAGGACTGCATGGAGCGCCGTTACCTTCCCGCCAGAGCGGTACCTATTCATCTACTCACATTTGCATGTTTTGAAACGGCTAGGTTGGCAGAAGCTGGGGCTAACAGCGGGAGCTCATGCCGCTCCCTGGATTCGAACCTGCGACCTTTCGGTAAGCAAGTTCAGCAACTCAGTGGTTTAACCCATTGGGAGCCACCGGCGTGCAGCTATACAAACAAGCCCCGCCCACTCCGGCACGCCCACCCCTCAAAGCCCCTCCCACTCGGCCGCCGCGTGCCTTTCCGCCTGGCTCGTCGGGCAGCGGGCGATACATAGAGCGGGCGGGGGTGAGCGAGTCGCGTCTTTCTCCAGGTGGCTAGAGTGGTCCGCCTCGCGCGCCCTCCTTCAGTCTTCCCCATCCCCGCCTCTGTGAGGGCACAGAGACAGAGACTGAGAGAGACGGGCATCCGGGTTGGAGCTGGCGTGTTTCCGGTGGTGGCTGTGAGGGAGAAAGAAAGGGGTGGGGGAGCGAGCGGCGGATTCCCCCACCCGCAGCCGGGCCCCGCGGGAGGTAGGCCGGAGCCGAGGCGGGGCGGGGGGCTGCCGTGGGGAGCGGGAGAGCGGGGAAAGGCCACGGGGCGGGGGTTGGTTTGGAGGCACAGCGCCTGAGGGCCGCCGCCGGTCGCGCCTTAGACGCCCTTGTTGCCAGGGAGGCCCGCGGGGCAATCGGGGCGGTTCGACGCCCCCTGTGCGGCCATGGCTCCTGGGATGTGTAGTGTGGTGAGGCACCGGCCTCCTTGGGCAGCGAAGGCTCAAGGCCTGGCCGAATGGCAACTCCCAGGCTTCCACAGCAATTGAGGCATGGCCATTAAAGTGGGATCAAACTACATCAATTCTGCAGTGTAGACGCGCCCACAGTGGGGCTACCTCTTCCAAGGCTTGACAAGCACTTCCAGGCAGTTCTGGCCTCCGCAGTGTATGAGAAACCACCATGAGCAGAAGGTATGTCTAAGGCAGGCATTGGCAAACTTGGCCCCTCCAGGTGTTTTGGACTTCCGGCTGTTAGGAATTGTGGGAGTTGGAGTCCAAAACACCTGGAGGGCCCAAGTTTACCTATGCCTGGTCTAAATAGAAACAGTGAGGACATGCTTGTTGAAAAACGGCAAACTGACCATGAATGTGAGGAATATCTAAGGGGAAACTCAATGGGAATAATAATAAGAAGAATAAGCATTATTTTTATTATTTGGGTTGTTGTAGTTTTTTTTCCGGGCTATATGGCCATGTTATAGAGGCATTCTCTCCTGACATTTTGCCTGCATCTGTGGCAAGCATCAAGGTAGTGAGGTGACTAGGTGAGGTCACTACCTGTGAGGATGCTTAGAATCATAGAATCATAGAATCAAAGAGTTGGAAGAGACCTCATGGGCCATCCAGTCCAACCCCCTGCCAAGAAGCAGGAATATTGCATTCAAATCACCCCTGACAGATGGCCATCCAGCCTCTGCTTGCCATAGATGCAGGCGAAACGTCAGGAGAGAATGCCTCTAGAACATGGCCATATAGCCTGAAAAAACCTACAACAACCCAGTGATTCTGGCCATGAAAACCTTTGACAATACATTTTTATTTTTTACTAGCTGTCCCCTGCCACGCGTTGCTGTGGCCCAGTCTGTTGATCTGGAAAATAAAGTAATGAGAAAGTGTTGGTTTCTAATATATGTAATTTCTTTATGCTTGTGGGTAAACAGTATTTCTTGCTTTTTCTTTGTCAGTATTTATGTGGAGAGTGTCTGGTTTGCCTCCTCTGGACCATGCAACATATCATTGTCCTTCTTTAAGGGTCCCTTTCAAATCTATGATACTATATCTCTCGGTGTGTGAATCATATCTATCTATATCTATCTATGGCTGGATGGCTCCTTGTCAGGAGGACTTTGATTACGTTTTCTTGCCCTGATGAAGGTAGTTGTATTGCATGACCTTAAGTATTTTCTGTTGGTCATGGGGGTTCTGTGTGTGAAGTTTGCCCCCGATTCTGTCCTTTGTGGGGTTCAGGATGCTCTTTGATTGTAGGTGAACTGTAAATCCCAGTGACTACAACTCCCAAATGTCAAGGTCTATTTCCCCAAACTCCCATCTGTGTTCATATTTGGGCATATTGAGTGCTTGTGCCAAGTTTGGTCCAGATCCATCATTGTTTGAGTCCACAGTGCTCTCTGGATATAGGTGAACTACAACTCCCAAATTCAAGGTCCATGCCCACCAAACACTTCTAGTATTTTCCGTTGGTCATGGGAGTTCTGTGTGCCAAGTTTGGTTCAATTCCATCGTTAATGGAGTTCAGAATGCTCTTTGATTGTAAGTGAAATATAAATCCCAGCAATTACAACTCCCAAATGACAAAATCATAATTTTTGGAGTGATGGTCACTCCTTGTGTTGTGAGACGTTTTGTTGCCAAATTTGGTGTGATTTCGTTCATTGGTTCTTTTGTTTTTAAGGTAATCATTATGCACAAAGCATTTATATATATATAGATTTGCTTTGAAGTCCAAAACACCTGGAGGGCCCAAGTTTTGCCCATGCCTAGTCTAAAGAGAAACTGTTTGTTGAAAAACGGCAAACTGACCACGAATATGAGGAATATCTAAGAGGAAATCCAATAATAATAATAATAATAAGCATAATTTATCTTTATTTATTTCAAGCATTTATACCCCTGTCCTTCTCACCCCTGGAGGGAGACTCAGGGCGGCTTATAACAGCCAACCATTAGATGCCAAACAAATACATTAAAATACACAGTTACAATGAAAACAGCAATTAAAAACAATTATAAACATTCAATTTAAAACAGTCCGCCAGTTCAGAATCATAGTCCAAGGTCAGTCTATTGCCGGTCACGTCAAACATTCTCTTCCTAGTTGCTACATTTACTGCTCAAATGCTTGAACCCACAGCCAGGTTTTAATATTACTATTTTTTACAAAAGGCCAAGACAGAGGGCACAGACCTAATTTCATTGGGGAGGGAGTTCCACAGCCAAGGATCCACCACGGAGAAAGTCCTGTCTCCCATACCCACCAGTCGCACCTATGAAGGTGGTAGGACCGAGAGCAGGGCCTCCCCAGATGATCTTAATGTTCTATCCTGCCCCCTCTCCCCAAAGGGACTGGACAACTTACAGAAAAACAAACGAATGCATTATATAATGAATAATAATAATAAGCTTTATTTATATCCCGCCCCTCTTCCTAAAGGAACTCAGCAACTTACAGACAGTGATCACATATCAATTAATAAAACAAAATAGCACAATAGTGTAAACATAAATAACAGTTTTAAAAACTGTTTAACCCTCTAAAAACAGTATATATAGAAATGGTGTTTAACACCAGCCAATAAGTGTGTTGAAAGATAGTTCCGGTTTATTGGCTCTTTGAGCAACAAGGATGGAGACTGGATGATGTCGTTGTATTGCCAGAAACTTTAGCACGATTTACCAATAATGTAAATGTACTAGACCTTTTGGGAAACCTTTAAAGATACAGTGCACCCCCCCCCCCCCTTTATCAACAGTGGAAACTCCCAGACTTTGCACTGAGTCATGGATAATAGCACCCAATTGAAATGAAGGACTAAATTATTCCTGAGGAAGACCATAAAGCCATGCTGGAGGATCTAGAACAGGCATGGACAAACTTTTTCCTTCCAGGTGTTTTGGACTCCAACTCCCACTATTCCTAACAGCCGGTAGGTTTGCCCATGCCTGATCCAGAAGATGCCTAGAGAAAGACACAAGGGATTTTTTAGGAGGTGGATCATTAAAACAAAGGATTCCAGTTCCCCGGATACTGTACTGCTGACTAGCTGGGCATCTGAAAAATATTTTTGCAACATTTATGTGCCAATCATTTCATTTATATAGGTTCAGTACACTTTATCTGAAATACTTGGGATCAGAAATGATTTGGATTTAAAAATTTGAATACCTATTTACAAATGTGTTTACAATAAGATATCTTGTGTCTAAATATAAAATTTATTTGCATTTTCTTTGCACTGTACTGTATATATAAGATGTTTTAAAATGATGGACCCAGTTTCAAAGCAGTATATTTCTTGCTGCAACATGTTACAATTACACAAAAGGTTACAAACAATTTAACGAGTTATAATGTTTTACTAACCACTTTGAGACCGAAACAAATCTAAAAAAAGAACTCCACAAATGAAGGCTCTCTTATTAGGCCTTACGTTGCATGACTTGTGAATGACTGAGGCCAGAGGCTGTTTGTGCACTGGGAGAAGCAGCTGTAATCATTGGAAACCATGCCCCGCTCTTTCAAATTGTAAGAGTTGAATTGATGAGAGGTTAATTGTTGCAGAGATATAGCAATTTCAAATTGGGTCCAACTTTTTCACCCTGTACATAGGCTGAATGGATTATTATTATTATTTACACCCTGCGTTATCTCCGCAAAGGAGATAAACATTTTTATTAATAATTTTGTGCTTTAAATTGAGTTTGTATACATTGAACCCTCAGAAAACAAGGGTGTCATTATCACAGCCCCCTCTGTGGTCAATTTTGAATTTTGCATTTCTAGATATGAGATGCTCAGCCTGTATACACGCGTGTTGTCATACTTGATATTTTCTAATGAAAATAAAACTGTTTTAAAATTTGATGGAGGGAAATTTGCCAGGAAAGTTTGGAAACTGCCCTTAACGATCTAGTAAGTTGAAAATAGGTCTTAATAGGAAGCAGGGGTTGAAAGAAACCTATGAGATAAATATTTTTTACTTTTTTGGAAAGTAGCTTCAGAGTGTGAACAGAGGTTGAAGAGAGACTCTTATGTTTTATGTGCCTCTAGAGACATGGATTCCATGATCTCCTTTGTATTGCAGAAATTGAGGCCAGAAGCAGCAGCATCATGAATGAGATGCACTTGCAATGCTTTTCTCTAGATCAGAGCTTTTAAAACTTTCCATTTATGACCCTTTCTCCTTTCTACCCATGAAATGTTTATATGACCAAAAGTATATAGGTATATTCAACTGGTATAAAAATCAAACATTTACTGAAAATAAACCAGCATTTACAAGGCTTGCTAAACAGGCTGATTTTTCTTTTTGTGGAGTACAGCTGAAGCATTTTTTGCAGAGTTGACTATAAACACTGCATGTTGTTGCTGTTAACTTGTTAGGGTTGGGTAAATAACCCTAACACATGGCTGAAGAGAGTTGGACTAGATGGCCCTGGGGTCTTCCACTGAAATACTGTAAAAGTTTATGTTGGTTAACATTGTTCTTCATTTTAAATACTCTATTGTTCTTTCATCCTTTTTTTTTTTTTTTTTGCACTGTTGGAATGAGTTCACACAAACACTCTCCATCAATCTGCCACTGACCTGGCCCATGTCTGATATATACATATACATACTCTCTCTCTCTCTTTCTCTCATACACAGACACAGACACACACACACACACACACACTGTAATATATAAACAATTATTGGGGCTCCATAAGAAACTTTTGCTTCATAAAGGGCTCCATGGCTGAAAAAGGTTGAGAAGAAACAATGTCAATAGACGGTTGATTTTAATGTGTGGCATAATTGCTGTTGATCCCATAACAATGTGGCACAGGTAGTTCTGTTTAAGAAGGCATTTGTGATAGAAATCTGGAGTGATGGCAGGCAGGATCGCATAAACTCTGCTTATTGGAATGGAACAGGACATCCTGATGAATAATCTTGTGGCAAGACTGCCTGAGGCTGGGAGAGAGAATCTTGTAGCTGGTGGCTCGAAGAATTTCTCTGTTACTTTAGGCAGCTGTTTTTACTGAGGTGTAAGGGCACTGATGACTACAGGAGAGATAATCTTGTTTGTGGTGTAAAGCAGATTTTTTCTGCCTTAATTCAACTGTTCTTGTCAATAGCACAGAATAACTAAGCTATTTCAAGCCTCACTATTTTAACCTAAGCTAAAGAATCTGGATGTGGAAGTGGGACTCTTTCACACTGTTGCATGTCCTGTTGTTCCCCTGTAGTCATACTTACGAAATCCGTAAGTATGGAAAGCAGTGAAGCAAAATTGCCATTTGGTCTATAATCTTAAATGCACTTGCTAGGGATAAGCCTTAATAGCATGTGGTGGGGCATGCTTTTGAGTAAATATGCTTATAATTGTGTTGTTTGAATAAATAGTTTCTGTTCACTTTTTATTTGATCCCTTAACAATATAATTACACTAAGTTATTTTGTTAAAGCTGTTCAAGATCCAATAATATAACAGTCAGTGGATTGCTAAAGCAATTTTTGCATGATATGGTTTCAAAGTACAAAATATGACTTCTGCTTATTGTTGTATTAGTAGTTAAGATTTGAGGTTAAGATGCCATTTTTAACTTATTCCATAATTTTAGTGTGTTTGGATTTGCAGTTTCCTGTTAGAATTTCATAGCTTTTATCTGAGATTACAGAAGAAATATAATACAGAAGAGCTGTATTTTGGATGCTAAATGTTAAAGCAAAAGGGTGCACCTTACAACAGTTCAGGTCATCCAATGCCCAGTTTATCTTCTAATCCCTACAGCATAACTGAGCATTAACTTGGAATTTTGAATTTTTTGCCTTAAAATGAAATGGTGGTGCTCTTTTAGAGAGAATAGCAAGCAGCAGCTTTTATAACTTGGACTTTTTAGTCATTCTTAATTCGGGGCACACTCTATTTAGCAAAAAGGCTTTATTAAATTAAGAGTCAAGTAACATAAGTTGAATAATCTTATGGGACAATTTATAGTTTAGCTACAACTCCCATAATCCCTGATTGTTACAACTTTAAGATACTAAGGCATCTTAAAGTTGAAGCTGAACATTTTGGGACTTGTGTTTGGTCGCTCTGGTGCTAACTAATTTGCTATGTCCCCAGAAAATATGACTTAACAGATGGAACGTGAATTTTATTAAATATTCTGTGGTCAGGCTAAATGTAAGGGTAATGTTTTTACTATAAACTATTATGCAAGGGAAAACCTCAATACCAGAGGAGGCCATTGAGAAATCATTTTTTGAACAAACCAACATAACATTAATATGTTATAAACAATTTGCACAGCCCAAGGGCATGGAAATGAACTATATTTAATAAAGTATTTCACTGCCTTTTAAGTCTGTGTATAGAATAAATTGCTAGTACAAAACAGAGATGGAAACATAACTTAGGTTTGCAAGCTATGTATGCATGGCTGATATTAAGTTGAATAATTACGGTATTATTTTGTTAGTGTGTAAATATTTAATATGCTTCTCTGTGGTTGTTAAAGATAGAATATAGAGTATCTACAAGTCCTGACATGTTTTGATCACACTGTCAAATTTTATATCAACACTAATATTAACTCCTTTTATTTATTCCTATTGCCACAGGTCTGGTTGCAGAGAATGATGATGATTTAGTCTGAATGGGGAAGAGAGGAATGAAGATGGACTATGGTGGCAGATTCTTTCAGAGTAGCAACCCAAGGTCAAAATTGTCTTGTTGCTGTTCAAGAAATAATTCTATAATAGAAAAGGTAAATCAGCTTTGTTTATTCTATTGCAAGATTCAAAGTACCACTATTTTTTTCTGAAAATAACTCTGTATTAGGTCTGCAATTCACAAATGTCTGTTTGGTGTTTAAATATTTGAAAGGCTGTCATAAGGAAGAGAGAGCATGCTTGTTTTTTCCTGCCTTGGAGACTAGGACTTAGAGCAATGGGTTCAAATTACAGGAAAGGAGATTCCACCTGAAGAATTCGGAAGAACTTACTGACTGTGAGAGATAATCAGTAGTGAAACTCTCTTCCTTGGAAGATTTAAAACAGAGCCTGGATGGTCACCTGATTGTGCTTTTCCTGCATGGCAGGGAGTTGGACTAGATGGCCCATGTGGTCTCTTCCAACTCCTCTATGATCAAATGGATGGATTGATAGGTTCTGTTTGTGGCATGTATGAAATGCAAAAATTGGTGTATTAAAGAAAATTGGGTTTTCTTGCACTGTATTTGATGTCCTGTTTCTGTTTTGGTATTTGTGTACATCAAAACTTTCTAAAATTGAAAGTTCAGGAAATACTGAATGGAGTAAGGTATTTTGAGAATCTACATTCTAGTTACATTCACTTGTTGGCTACCAAGCAGCACTGGTTTTTCTGCATTGCATATTTTTGAGACATGCAGATAAGACCCTACTCAAAGCAGAAGATTGCAAAGATCTGGAAGAATGATTGATAAATGTTAAGAAAGAAGGAATATTACAAAGGGGAAATAATGGCCACAAAAATCTGCATAACTTTAAAAGTAATGATGATGAAGACATTAAGATATCGTAGTTAACAGGTTTTCTGTACCTCGGTTCGTTCATCAATCAGCATGGGAACTGTAGTTCAGAAAGCAGGGATTAGATTTGGAAGGACAGGCATGAAAGAACTGCTCAAGATATTCAGTTGTAAAGATTCATAATTGAATACTAAAGACAAGGTTCATCCGTACCATATTTTTGAGCACAGATATGATATAATGAAGAATGTCGACAAGTAGAAAAGTGAACTACTTTGAAATATGCTGCTGGTGAAAAGATGTATGAAATGCTTTCAGAATTGGTATAGCCAAGTTTACTGCATAATGTTTCTTCCTACCTGTGGCCATCTAATGCAGAATTAGAAGACTCTGTAGACTCTTGCCATCATATCTTCCCTGTGGAACTAATGGGATGGTTGAAATTGGTAAACCCATAATTTTTGCCAACATTATCACATCTCCAGGCCTCATAGGTGCCAACATTTTCACTGCCTGCCTCAGCTTGACTTCCCTTTCTTCAAACAGGGTCAGGGATAGTAAAGTGCTTAAGGGGACTCGAAGCAACCTACAACAAATTGAAAAATGTATTGGTAAACATCTACATTTACCAATAAACCCCCCTGTTTAAACAGCTCCACTGGCTGCCGATAAGTTTTCGGTGCCAATTCAAGGTACAGGTTATCACCTATAAAGCTCTAAACGGTTCAGGACCTGCCTATCTACGTGACTGCCTTCTCCCCTACGAGCCCAGACGGTCCTTAAGATCTTCTGGGGATGCCCTTCTTTCGCTCCTGCCCCCATCTCAGGCGCGGTTGGTGGGGACGAGGGAGACGGCATTCTTGGTGGTGGCCCTCCATTTTTGGAATTCCCTCCCTAGGGAGATTAGGCAGGCACCTTCCCTAGCCACATTTCGTAAGGAATTAAAGACGTGGATGTTTCGTTGTGCCTTCAACTGATGACCCCTATGACAAATGATTGTACCGTGATCTGTTTTCACCATTTAACCTGAATTCCTATATTACATCATTATTCATATATCTAAGTTAAATTGAGAAGATCCTAATCCTGTTTAATTGCTCTGTTTCCATGATATCTCCTGTGCCATTTATGTTCTTATCCACCTTATTGAACTATTTACCCTTTAATCAATTCATATGTTGGCCTCCTTCCCCCTCCAAAATTGGTTTGCTGTTGCTTGATACTTGTTTATTACTGTTATGCTGTTTGTGCTATTTTAATTTGTAATTTTCTGTTGCCTTGCTTTTAATCTGTATGTTGCCTGGGCTTGGCCCCATGTAAGCCGCCCCGAGTCCCCTTGGGGAGATGGAGGCGGGGTAGAAAAATAAAGTTGTTGTTGTTGTTGTTGTTGTTGTTGTTCTTCTTCTTCTTCTTTATACAAAAATTAAAATAAGATTAATCAGTCAAAAAATTAAAACATATATAATTTAGGATGATCTTATACACAACCTTTATTGTTGTCAAGATACAGTACAATAGTTTGCTTGAATATAGTTAATGCCTATCTAAACAGAAGAGTCGTTATTGTCTGGGAAAAGAAAGCAGGAATAATGCCAATTTAGCTTCTCTGGGAAGGGAATTCCAGAATAGGAGGGCAGACACTGAAAAGGCCCTCTCACATTCCCCTCAGAAACTGGTGGGACAAAGAAACAAACCTCCCCAGTAGGTTTCAAAGTATGGGCTATTTTGTAAGGAAGAAACAATCCCTCAGATAACCTGTCCTGACCTATATAGAGCTTTATAAGTCAAAAACAGCATTTTGAATAGTACCTGGAAATGGACAGGCATATAAATAAGAACAGATGGTTGGGGAATGCTTATGTCTAATGTCTATATGTTTATATATATATAATATTTAAAGAACCTCAAGCAGAGAGGCTTGCAGTGATGAACTACCTTTTCTGTTAGAGGCTCGTTTGCCTTCCAGCTTCTGAAGTCTTCAACTTGGGTGTCATAATTAGTTTAGAAGCATGATGTTTTAGAAAACAAAGCTTTTTCTTCAGCAATAATCTGCTTGTCACTGTGTAAATAATATTTTGATTGCTGAAATACTAAAATGAATTCTCATTTGTTCAGAAAATGACCTCCTGGTTTTTGCTTTCAATAACAATATTTTTCTTGAGAGAGAAATAACCTGTTTTTACAACGTGCATTTAAGATGAGCTAAAGCTTTCATGAGTAAACATGTAATCAACATACCCCACTTAGTTTTGCTGGATTAATTCTGTTTCAAATAGAATGCAAATTAAGACTCAGGCTTCACTTTTAGTATGGAGGAAGTAGATAATAAGTAATGAAAAATGTTCGCTGTCAACAATGAACCTGAGACTAGTTCATGTTTGGAAGAGATTTTCTGCTTAGAGAGCATTTATTTTTGTAGAATAAACTATTATTCTGCTCTGTTGTTGCTTGGGAAGCAATTAGCCACAAGATTGGTCATATAGCAGTTCTAATCTTTTAAGGTGATTTCTATTTGTGTTAAATCTAGACCATCAGTTAAGATTATACCTGAAGAAGAGAAGGCTGAGAGGAGATATGATAGCCATGTATAAATATGCGAGAGGAAGCCACAGGGAGGAGGGAGCAAGCTTGTTTTCTGCTTCCTTGGAGACTAGGACGCGGAACAATGGCTTCAAACTACAAGAGAGGAGATTCCATCTGAACATTAGGAAGAACATCCTGACTGTGAGAGCCGTTCAGCAGTGGAACTCTCTGCCCCAGAGTGTGGTGGAGGCTCCTTCTTTGGAAGCTTTTAAACAGAGGCTGGATGGCCATCTGTCAGGGGTGATTTGAATTCAATATTCCTGCTTCTTGGCAGGGGGTTGGACTGGATGGCCCATGAGGTCTCTTCCAACTCTTTGATTCTATGATTCTATACTATTTAAATCAGTTTATTTTCAGGGGTGAATATACCTTTCTGTGATCTTATTTTGAAATTATTTTTAATATTGACCACGTTTAAACTAAGTGTTGTTATTGCATTCCAGACATGATATTGTGGACTGGACCTACTGAATGATGAATGCTTGTCTGCTTGGGAATAAATCATACTGTTACTTTATAAAAGATAATGTTTGAATACATAAATAATGTTGTCTATGTTTTGGAGGTGCAGCTACACTGTAGAATTAATGCAGTTTGACGTCACTTTATCTGGCATGGGTCCATGCTATGGAATCATGGGAGTTGTAGTTTTACAAGGTCTTTAGTCTTTTGTGCAAGAGATTGCTGGCACCTCACTAAAGTACAGATCACAGGACTCCACAGCATTGAGCCAGTTTATCAAAGTATGAGGAAAGCATTGTTATACAGTGGACAATGTATATATGGAATAAGAATTGCTCATGTCCAGCGTATTCGTTGAATTGCTGTTTTATTCTGCATCTTGTTCTACTGATTTGTTCTCAAGTTGAACAAGGTCATCTCTTCCTAGCACTTCAGAGTATGAATGTTGGTCTGTAGTATAGTGATGTGAAGAATAAATGTATGTTCTCAGGTAGTTGAAGATCTGTGGCAGGCTGTTTTCTAATATTAACTGGTTGTAGCCTCCTCCTAGAAGGCACTATATCCCATCTGAACTTGAGTGGCTGGGAGACAATTAACCAATACTGACTATTGAAGTTCAAAGCGCCTGGAGTATCAGGGTTTGGGAATCATGGGTTTGGCATGTATTCATGGATGCCAGCACCTTCCTATTTGTAGAGGTCTTTCTAAAGAGCTGTCCCAAAAGAGTTTTTTTCTCCTTTAGACTTTAAAAAAACGTTCTTTTAATATGGTCAGAATGTTGATCATATTATCTTGCAAGCTTTTTCCTAATGCAGTGAAATCACCATCAGTCTGCAAACTGTCGGCTCCTACGATAGTGTTGTAGTGTCTAACAAGATCAAGCAAATCACTACTCTTCCTTTAGAATCTAAAGTTACTGACAGTGCAGTTATTTGAAGATTCAGGGAACATGAGTATTTCAGATGATAATCCCGCATCCCTGCATTTATAAGTAGACTGTGGTTTTTAATTGTAGCTCTTTAATCCCTCTCTCTCCTATTGTTGGCATGAAAATAGAATTTAAAAGGCTTCAAAAAGCTGCACCAGCATTAAATTGCATTAGTTACTGCAAGGTGATTGCAGTCGCATGATTAAACTTGACTATAGAGAACAGAGAAATACAATACCGTTTGTGGGGGTAGTTTAACTATAAGTGTGGCCCAAGCTATGCCAAATTGTTCATGGTTTGGGGAAGAATATTTTTTCTGTGTTAAAATCAAGAGATTAATTTCTTCTAATAGCATTAACATATTTCTTTTGCTGAATTGCAATATATGTTCCATATAAGTTAATACAAGTTTTTCTTAAATTCCTTATTAGACAATATGCAGTATCAAATTATATTGAAGCCTGTCATGCCAGGAAAGAGTGAATCACTTGAAGTTGGGGAGTAGGGTCCATGCTACATTATTAGGTACTTGAAGCATTTCAGATATGCTTCAGACAACAAAAAGTAGGGCTAAATGAGCTTTGAAAATATCGCTCTGAATGTGATCTGTATTTTACAATCTATAGCAGCCTATCTGTACTACTTTACAATAACATGCAACACATATAGCACATTTTTGTAAAACTGAGGTTGACTTCATTAATGGAATGGTGAACTAAAAAATCTATCTTTTGTATGATGATGATTCAGTGCAGCTATATTGATTTATTAAAACATTTATTTCCTGTTCTATATTCAGAAATCTTGGTGCGGGGTACAGAAAAATTAAGACAGGTTTTTGTCATTATTTAAAATGTCTGTATGGGGTGCTTTCTAATGTGAAAACCATTCAGTATTTTGCAGTATATCTAGATGTCCAGAAGCAGCAGTTGTCAGTAGCTTTGATTTGTTTTTCCAGATAAAATGCAACTTTCCAGGTGTTTTATCTGGCATCCATCAGGGTTTTCACATCGATTTCCTCAAAGCCCAAAACTTAATTGATCCAACACATGTTTCTCTTGTTTTGTATTATATGTGCCACTTGGACTCCCACTGCTTTTTAGTATGCATCGCATTGTACTCTGTTGTTCCTCTGGTTTTCACTAGTAAACCTAGGACACAGCTAAGCCAGAAGGATAGTTATTGGATTGTCTTAAATTTCTATATACATTCTAATTTAGGATTCATATAATCATCCCAGTGTTAGATTCTCTTATTAAAAATAGAACAAACCACTATTTCTTTGGGGGTTGCATGATTGAATCTTCTACGAAGCTCGGAATAAAACCTGAAAAATATTTTTTGGAACTAATAAGGGAATTCCTTGTTTTGCTATTTTAAACAATCACTTTCTGTAGAAAGTTAATGTAGGTCTTCCTGTAATGTTTTGAAGCTGCAACTCCCACAGTGTGTTATCACTGGCTGTGGGAGTTATAGATTGAAAAGACCTGGAGGGTAACAGTCATTCACCCTATAATAGAATCTATTTCTGTGTCTTTGTAATGCTCATTGAGTTATTGGAGCCTGCAGATTTCAGAAGAAGGAAACATAGTATGTAAAATCAATGAGTTTCTTTTTTGGTTAGTATTTGAAGAATGTCCAATTTTTCTCAGTGTCAGTTTATTTGAGAATTTAAGAGGGTAGATTTTCTCTGTGTTTTTTTTTATATATAGCTTTATGTTTCCTGTTGATCTACTCAAAACTAAACTGTGCTTCTAGTTTTGGTGAAGCAGGCATTGTCTTGCATCTGATGTACATTCAGAATATCATTCTTGGCAATAGATTTAATGAGTGTTGGAAGCAGATATCTTTTTCTAGGCCAGTGATGTCCAGATTTGCAAGTGCTGTTCTTGTGTCTGCTGTAGTGGCAACACATTACTTGCTTTCTACAAAACCTTACATTCAGAACTGTCTAGATAAGATACTACCTGTGTTCTTAGTACCCAAGGCTTGTGAGAGGAAATGAGGATATTGTTGATACGTTAATCCCCTGGCAGTAATAATTTCATTGCACCCATTTTAGTTGGCTTTAAGAACTCTAAGGACCAGATTTTGGGTTGTAAGGCAATCCTTGTAACTCTTTATGGTTGGAAAGCTAAGTCTAATGTTGAACAGATTTTAATTGTCATTTTAACTTTTCACTGTCTTGCAGTAAAAAAAAAAGTCATCTAATCATTTGGACAAGGCTGCCTGCTTTCCAGACCAATTGTCCTGGCCAGAATATATTGCTTAATGATGAGTCGTATATTCCAGAGCTCGATTATCTGCTGTTTTGTGTAGCCCTTTTCTCTATTGCCCATTCAAGGTGAGCTCTCAGGGATCATATTTATCAGTGTGCTATGTGTGATAAACAGAGATATGTAGTAGGAAGTGCTGAAAGGCTTGACTTGATAATCAAACAGCAAGCCTTGTAGCTATAGCCATTAGAAATGTTCCTTCTTAGTCCAAACATCCAATACAAACAATGTCCATTCATGCACAGACTGAACTTTTTATATCTGATTATTAGCAGTGCGTTACTACGAGAGGCAAATTAAACTGGTGATAATGCTGCTAAATTGATAATGTGGACTACTTTTGCCATCTGCTTTCTGGTCTTGGGTAAGTCACCTCTCTTTGCCTTCTTTCCCTATCTCTAACATGATTTTATTATATTCTCATCTGGAAAGTGCTGTATGTTTTATGCCCAGTTTACTTTCTAATGGTATGCTTTGCTTTGTTGTGCTATTGTGATAGGGTAGGATGTTGGTTTAGAACAATGTCCCCAAATTCTGGTCTTCTATGTGTTTTAGGGTTTAGCTCCCAGAATCTGTGATCATTGGCCAAGGCAACTGAGACTTCTGGGAGTTGTAGTGCGAAACATCTAAAAGGCTAGATTTGGGAATGTCTAGTTTAGAATCTTAAAACTGAACCAGCTTGCCCAATAGGACTGCATTTTGCAAATAAAAGTTAGTCAGTTTTCTCTACTCCTTTGATGTCATAATTCACACAGTTGTAGATATATCCATCAAGATGACTTGTAAGACAGAGCACAATGTAATCTGTCCTGCAGCTCTTTTGCTAAAAGGTAGTCCCCGAGTGAGCAGAAATTATCAAAAGTTGTTATTGAAGTACTCAGGGACTCTGCAATTCAAGTAAAGTAGCCTTGGTTGAAGCTGGATAGTTGATTCTATTCTGTTGTTGGCAAGAAGTTTCCCTTAAGGACTGTCATTAACTTAATAGACTGTAGCCCATATCTTAGCGATTTGTATTTTGTCTCTATCAAGGTGCATGACCTAACTAAAAGCATTTTTCTATTTCTAATGTATTGAAGTTAATTCACAGACTATGGAATAGGTTGCAGTTGAGCTCAGTTAAGCATGTATGGGTTGTGGGAGATGGAGATGTGTGTGGAGCATCCCATTTTTGAAGGCTCACAACAGTTTATGGAGTATGATCAGACAGAATCTTGTGTTTTCTCATCAACTCTGAAGGGAAATCAATGTTTTGTGCTGTGAATTAACTTCAGTATCTTAGACATATGAAAATGCCTTTAGTTAGATCATGCACCTAAGTTTCTTTAATATGTGGTTAACAAGAAAGACCTCAGTGTCAGAACCCATGTTTTTTGTATAAAGGGGTTCGGGTTCAGATGTGGTATTTTGAGACTGAGTTTAGACAGAGTCATTTCTAGAATGCTGATGTAAATCTAAGCAATTTCTAAGCTAAATAGAGCAATAGTCTGCTTTGGATAAGGCATATGTCTTGTTTCCAAGCTGGGTAAATGTCATTGTGTAAAACTCAGTGAACTGTCACTTTTGGTTCTTTGCACACAGTAGTCTATTTTTAGTAGAAAAGATGATGTTTTCTGCTTTGACCATGGTGTAGCTTTCTTATTAGTCTCGTGAGGGCAGCTTGTGCATCTCCATTAGGGGTGAGTTATCTTATCTAATGCAGCAATTATTTGATCACTCTTTGCCTGTGTTTTTCAGCGAGGCTTACACACTTGCTAACTTTACATTGAATCCCCAGCACTGTTCTGGTTAGCGAGATATCCTGTCCCCTCTGTAACCTGGAATGAAGTCTGAGTATTTCTTGTTATAACTAATATGCAAGTTCTGCAAAAATGGAAAAAATGAGGTGTGTAAATTTTAAAAAATGCAAGTGAAGAGATGAGTAATAACACTGTGGAGGGAAGTATCTAATTTGATGTTAGCAGGCAAGTAAAATACAGTAATTCAGCACACAGAAATGGGGCCAAGTCAAACGCTCTCCTCTCTTCTGTACCACACCCTGCTCTTCAGGGACTTGGACCTTTGTCTGTGAATCTCTAAGTTAAAATGCAGCCATATCGGGTTAGCAGACAGCATTGCCAGAAGAATGGCTTTTAACTGACTCCACAGAAGCAGAACTCTGAATGTACCGGTCTCTTGTGGCAAGAATGCAAATGTCTTAGCTCAGCTTTTTATTGTTTTTCTGCTTCCTGCTTTTTCCAGGGTTTTGGCATCAGTGATGAGAAATGGGGTATGATGTAGCACGTTTTCAAGGGGATGTTGATGAAGATCTGATATGCCCCATCTGCAGTGGGGTCTTGGAGGAGCCAGTGCAGGTAGGTGTTTGAGATCAGCCTAAAAAGTTTCTTGAAGGTGTTTTTTTTTGTGTTTGGTGGAAATTTTCTATGGTATATCTTTTTAAAATATTTTTCTTAGTCATGCAGCTGAGCAAAGTGTATGTTCTTTTAAGAAGTTTGTTTCTTTTAAAGCTAAGTTTTATTACAGTAATCCAGTCTGACCTGCATGGATTTAGCCAAAGAAGCACTTTTAAAATGCATTTAAAATTATTCCATTGGAGTCTGCTAAACATCATGGTATTTGAGACTTGGGGATATCTTTATAGCATATGTTAATCAATGACTACTTTTCATGTAGATAGTCAATTTGCTTTCTTAAAGGGTCATAAAAGTTGATGCAAAGCTTTTGAAAACTAAAACAGAACACTTCACGAGAAGCTTAATATCAATGATCAAAGGACACAGTTTCTCTTAATATCTGCAGTAATCCCTTTTGGGAATTTCTAGGGCTGCAGGAATCTAGAGCTGCATATGTGAGCAAGTTAACACTTTATACACATGTGTGATCCAGTTTGCATTGAGCAGGTTTGAGGGTGGGGTTGTTTTTTACAGATATAGATAGATCTCACTGTAAAATGTATATATTATATGTAGCTTCTGGATTCTCAGTTTATACTTTATAAATAATTTATATAGGTAATGGGTACATCTTCAAAATGTTTTTTTTAGTCTTTGTACAATGTGTAATAACATTTCCTAACATTCTTAGAACAGGAACACATTGGCTAAAAGAAGTTTCTAAATTAAGAAAATTTTAGACATTCACCATTATGATGCAAAATTGTGGTTAGTTTTAAACATGGGAATCAGTTTTCCTAGTTATTAGGTGCATGAGAGCATCTATTAGAAGATCATAAAAAGCTAATGCTGTAGAATTTTGTCTAGTCACCCATTCATAATCAGAAAGCAGTGCTATTCTGACAAATATCAGGTCAGTTTCCTATTCTATGAAACAATTGCAAGATTCCTGTGAGAAACAGATATTTGGTGCAATTTGTACGTAGTTGTATGCTATAGCCATATATATCATTTTTCACTATGTGTATATGTTCTAGGAAGCATATTCAGGCAGTGACAGTGTATGATTTTCACATGTGAATACATATGTGTTCGTATAGCAATCTTGTAACGTATGAAGTCACTGCTAAGTTCCTAAGTAAAGATAAAGGTTTCCCCTGGCATTAAGTCTAGTCATATCCCACTCTGCGGATTGGTGCTCATCTCCATTTCTAAGCCGAAGAGCCGGTTTTGTCTGTAGACATCTCCTAGGTCATGTAGCTGGCATGACTGCATGGAAGGCCATTACCTTCCTGCAGAAGCAGTACCTATTGATGTACTCACACTTGCATGTTTTCAAACTGCTGAGTTGGCAGAAGCTGGGCCTAACAGCAGGAGCTCACTCCGTTCCCCAGATTCGAACCGCCAACCTTTCGGTCAGCAAGTTCAGCAGTCAGCATCACCGGAAAACACTGAATTTAAGATGAGCAGTAAGTTTTTGAGTGCTATATTAATTGCTCATGTATGAAAAATCATTTGGTGACAGAAATTCTGGGAAATGTATTTGAAAGGTAGATAACAGTGAAAAAGAGTTCAAAACTATGACTTGCAATGAAGTTTTGTCCAAAACGAAGGGTGGACCTTCAAGTTTTACTTATATAGGGAGCTGTCACTCTTTTTAGAGGAAAAAAGCTTCTGTTGCTTGATAAGCTGAAAGTGATGGAGCATAAACTCATTTTTGCACAGGGAACAGACAGGGACTATTCTTATCCTAGTTTTTCTCCTTATATAACATCTGCATGTAGAACCAAGAAATATTTCTTATGTGTGATGTGGCTTACTTTCTGCCCATTTGAACACATGGATTTTCTCACATTCCCCAAGGAAACTGTGTCTCTTTATTTGGACCTTTATCTCATTTTGAATTTCAAAATTATGTGTTCGGTATAGTTAGCATATAGATTTAAAAAAATGGATATATTTACTTTAAAATGGGCAGCAGAATATTTACAAACCCAAGAAACAAATACCTGAATGAAGTAAAAAATATTACACAAGCTAGAAGATCTGCTAGAAGAGACTTTAGAAGATGAAACCCTCAGTGTAGCTCAGCCTGGCTCCCAGGTTACATTCTATTTTCACAACCAAGAAATCCTTTTGCTTGATAACTAATCATGTTGACCTATAAAACATACCCTTCAAATTGTAGTGGTGCTTCCTGCCTGTTGGCAAAAGACATTGGAGTGCTAGCTATGACCTCGGTGTTACAGCCATTTATGTAAATTGTTCAAGAGGTAGCAGTGTTTGTTATATGTACAAAGAATCTCAATGCTAATTAGTTTTTATGATTACAGTATATTCTGGCGTATAAGACTACTTTTTAACCCAAGAAAATCTTCTCAAAAGTTAGGGGTCGTCTTATATGCGGGTGTAGTCTTATGCATGGGAGTCGTCTTAACTCTATATTTTAACTGGAAAAGTTGGGGGTCGTCTTATACGCCCAGTCGTTTTATATGCCGGAATATACGGTAAACTAGAAACATTGTAACTTAACAAGATAGGCCGCTGTGTTCAGTAAGTACTCCACTCTTATTGGCTGCCTTGTGTTTGAACTCAAAGTGATACCTTCAAAACTGCATTAGAATATACAGTACTTCACATTTTAGGCACTGTGGTATTGGTTTATACAATGAAATGCCACATATGCTACTGAGCTACCAGTGTGGATATGTCACTGAAATATCTTGGACTTTGCAGAATGGAGAAAGAAGCAGACTGAAAGTGTTGGGCTCTTTTAGCTTCCTGAGAATTATTTCTGAAAGCTTCACTTTACCCAGCAATTATTCCCCAGCCCCAGTCACTTGTTAGCAATCTCAGCCAACAATTTCAATGTACCTGCATTTCAACAGAATGTTACATGCTGGGTTTAGGACTTTGGCTATGTAAGAAGATAGGGTAGTACTGTATCCTACAAAAAGCCTAATAAATGTTTTTTTTTCTTTCTTCTGAATTCAACATTTGGAGCACACCTAATTCTTCATTAGGTTTATAATGATGATAGATAAGAATTGTCTATGTGTCACATGTAATGCCAGTTTATTACTTTTGGTCAAAGGCCATTGCAAAACTATGTAACGATGCTGCAAAACACAAGCAGTTAAAATATAAGATATATACAGGACTTTGTGTATGTTCTTTTTTGTGAGCATGTCTCCTGACTAGGAGGTAGGCTTAAAGAACGTGACCTCTATAGATGGGCTGTTTCTATTTTGCTACTGTGTTGGACATAATGACAATGGTGTCAAGAGGACAGAAATTACTGCCCTCAGCAGAAGCTGGCCAGAAAGAGGCAAGACTAGAACAATGATTCATGCAGAGATGCAGGAGCCATTCTCTTCACTGTTTGGATACTTTTTTTGCTTAAAGGAGGCTTTCTCTTGCCCCACTCCTCTCCCAAGCATGTTTTCAGATCTCTCAGTCACATTTCTGTGCTGATTCAGGAATTGCTGTACTATGGAGATTTTTTTTTATCCAGGACGGGCTTGCTCACACACTGAAGGTCAATGGTTTCCATGGAGGGCCTTCCTCCTACCAAACAGATTGCTAGCTTATGTTAGCATTTAAACATATATATAGTCATATGCTTGCATGTGTAATCAATTATACTGGCTTCAATTCATGGAAAAGATTTGGGATTAAACAGTGTGTAAGCACACGCTTTCAAAATCCAGATCATGTTCCAGTCTTTATGAACTACTGTATTAGTCTACATTTTTTAAATTTCTTTCTCCTTCAGATTAATTTCTTTACTTTCAGTTCAGCCTGTTTTGAAAACTACAATATATGGAGCTCCATATATTCCCCTAACTTCCCCTAATTTCATATGTAATTGAGGAATATAATAACCTATTGCAAAAGGTGGTTGAAGTGACAGTAAATGAAATAGTTAATGTTTCATTGTTTTAACCCCCGTCTAGTCAGATAGCCCATTTAAGTCTCTGAGAGTCATGTTTTGTTGCAGGGTTCACAAAGAACTAGAATTACAAGGTAGGCATTTTATAGCATTTGCTTTTGAAGAGGAATTAACAATGTTATAGAGATTCTGCTGTGCTGTTCACAGAGACCTTTAAGGCACAGAAATTACATTGGTTACCTTGTTTTATATTTTTCAAAGGAGGGCTTATGCCTATTCAAAACAAATATTCCACCTAATGTGGCCCCATTTTTCTCTTTGATTCTGTATTCGTTAATACTTCTGTGGTCGAGGCATTTTTCTGTCCTGCAGAACTTTAACACTGGAAAAAATCTTACAACTGAGGACTCAATAGCTTGCTTAGAAGTCACCTGGATTTATAGGTAGGCACCAAATGGAACAAATATGGTTAGGCTCCCCTAAATATGTTACTTGCTTGTTGCAGAAGTATACAACTAGTACTGTGCCTTCCATCAATCAATAAGTAACTTGAAGGCACGTATACACACAAAGCATTAAGCCTATTCACTTGATTCTCACAAGACATTTGTTTCCTGGTGTCACTAAGAGTGTTTGGTTGCCAGAGACTGAGATAATAATGGTAATTTCTGTCAGCTCTTTTGCCTTAAGCAATAATGCTTTGCATTGTTGCATCCTTTGCAAAGATGACAGAATGTTTTTAGGATTTAAAATAATTTTCAATTTTTCTTACAAATAAACTTGAATAATGTAACAGTTGAAGTGACATCTTTGACCTCTGTGATCACAAAAAAAAAAAAAACAACCAGATTTTTCCTAGATAGCTCAGTGGACATCTGAAAGTGAATAGATAACGTTTTCATGTATTTGTATGTTTAATTTAATAATGTGCCTTTTTCGGAATTCTTTCAGCAACACCTTCATGTGTATCTTCTCTTTTCTTTTGGAGAGAAGTAAAATTCTTTAAAAATATGCTATAAATGAGCTGATGAATTACAATTTAATCCATGGAAAAGTAGGCAATGGAGTATTTACTTTGATAGAATTACTTGATACAAAAACATAGTCTCACAACCTCTGAGGATGCCTGCCATAGATGTGGGCAAAACATCAGGAGAGAATGCTTCTAGAACATGGCTATACAGCCCAGAAAACTCACAGCAACCCAATTACTTGATAGATAGAACACTGCATTTCATAGAACACAGCTAAAATGCTCTGTCCTTCACAGTGATAATTTGACCTTAATATTGCAAGCAGTATACATAACTGCAGCTGGTGGTTTAATTTTACCCTCACATTGATTTCAGCCACAAGGACAACCCCTTCTTTTATTATCCACTGCTACTGTTTATCATTCTTTAACTTCCTTCCCATTGTGAATCCTTTGCTTGACATCCCCACTGCACTCTGGGCCTTTTGCTACTTGCTTACATTTGGCATACTTTACTTATGGCAAAAGTCCAGGAACAGCCCAAGATATTTTGGCTTTCCAATGTAGAGCAGCAAAAAATATACACTCCTAAATCATTAATATCAAAACTTCATCTATGTTGGGTTGCTGTGAGTTTTCCGGGCTGTATGGACATGTCCCAGAAGCATTCCCTCCTGACGTTTCACCCTTTGGCACATGGAAGAAATATCACAGCTCCCTGACACCCTTTCTACCAATGAAAATGCTGTAATATATTAAATACTTTACAATTTGTTGTCCTTTCATGAAACTCAAAGCCTGGTCAGACTAATATTAGGGCAGGTCCTGGAGTCAACATCTTGGATATTTTAAAAAAAGGAGTTTTCAGCAAAAGCTTCTGTTGGTTTGGACATTGTGTGTGTGTGTACATGAACGACTTGTCTTTTGCCTTTATTTCTGCCCACATGGGAATGGGTCAGTGAGCAAAGACAACTTTGCTGGCCATTCCCTTATTCGGCTCAAAATATGAGCTCTGTTAATAATTAATTGCAAACTATTTTTGTAAAGGTTTGAGGAACAGTTATTGTTATATCTTCAGATACAATATCGCTGTATTATAGCAGCAAGGCAATCACTTGGTTTCATACTGATTCTTTTTCATCTTACCAAGGAGATGAGGATCTTGTAACCCAAACTTATTCTGCCTTTTCTGCAAATGGTGTTCCTGTAGTTCAAATGCAGTACATTTTTGTTTAAATTGAAAAGTATATTGAAACTTTTTACCTGGAGATAATGGAAGACACTTTGGGGAATTGGAAGATATACTACCATACTGATAGATTGTACAAAATCATACTTCTTTGAATTTAAGCCCTTCAGGTTGTTTCGTTGACCTGTTTTCCATGAGATTCCTTAAAGCATCAGAGTGGGAATGGCCAACATTGATCTATAATACAGTTGATGTCAAGTAGAAAGGTTTCTCTCTCCTGTAGCTAAAGAATTGTGGAAGGTTATTTTCAGAAATTTTAATTAAATCTTCCGCATTGCTTCTTCAGAATTTTGTATAGTGGGCTAATATCATTATCTGCCACTGCTACTTCAATTGACTGAACTAATTGGTTGAAGTGTTCTGTCCCGCTTCTAGGTCTTCTTGGTCTTGAAAAAGTGCTTGGAGAAAGAGTCTGCATGGAAAAAAGATTAAGAGCCCACGTGTCCAGAGACAGCAATCCAGTAACATGAACCTTTTGTAATCTTAATTGGCATGCCTTACTTTGTTCTCTACACAGGCTCCTCACTGTGAGCATGCTTTCTGCAATGCCTGTATCACCCAGTGGTTCTCTCAACAACAGACTTGTCCTGTGGATCGGAGTGTTGTGACTGTGGCTCATCTGCGTCCAGTTCCCCGGATCATGCGTAATATGCTGTCTAAGCTGCAAATCACATGTGACAATGCTGTTTTTGGTTGTACTGCTGTAGTACGGCTAGACAACCTAATGTCTCACCTCAATGACTGCGAACACAATCCAAAGCGGCCTGTGACATGTGAACAGGGATGTGGGTGAGTGCTGTCAAATGTAGATAGTTCTGACCCAAGGCACCATTGAATTATCATAATTCATTGCTTGGTCTAAGGCTGGGACTAAAGCTTAATTGCATTGAGGGGTGATTTATCAAGGAAAGTATCAAAGTGTCAGGAAGGATTAACCCTTCCTGTCCTAGTAGTAATCCCTCTCATGAAATGTTCTCCCCTCAGTGCTCCAGTTAGGCATTAAATGCTCCTTTTGGGTCTTTTTCATTGTAGTGGGAAAGAGAAAAGGGAATATATTTTTTTCCTCTGACCATAATAACTTTTTGTAGCAGAGAAGCAGTCCGAAGAGTACCTCCCATAAGCCAGATGTTCCAAAACCTGTTCATATAAACTGCATTTCACCTTCCTGTGTGATCTAGAAAGAATAACAAGTGAGACAGCAGCTGTGTGGTCCACCTGTCAAAGCTTAATGGGAGATGGCTTTTATGATGCGTGATGTGTAATTCAGTTGCACAGCATTGGCATCCAGTAACTTAGACAACTAAATTCACTCCCAGTTTGCGTAGAGCATAGCTTCTTGCTTCAGCGCTCTTTTGTAGATGTCCAGTACAGAGTTTAAACTTGGATTGTGCTTCTTTCTCACTAGTCTCTGTTACTACTTTTGTGCAGCTTGGAAATGCCCAAAGATGAGCTACCGAATCATAACTGCATCAAACACTTGAGGTCAGTGGTACAGCAGCAACAAACAAGGATAGCTGAGCTGGAGAAGACATCAGCAGAGCATAAACACCAGCTGGCAGAGCAGGTACTTACTTCATTTGTTGTTCTTCCACGCATCTGACTGGCTAGATTTTAAAGACACAACCCCCCATCCCCCTGAGAAAAACTTGAAGTTTTTACTAGACAGCTTCAGAATTGCTCTGTTTTAAATATCTTGCTGTACTACTTAAACTTCCCAGACGCTGTACATTCCTTGAATGCATCTTCAGGTCTGAACTTTTACTTAATTTTTATTAAATTACGTTTATCCTTCTTCTCGGTCATGAGATCTCGGGATGGCAAACAGATAAAACAATATAAGCAATTTAAACTTTCAGATTAAAATCAAGGAATAACCAAGATAAAAACATAACTAACAATTCAACGAGTTAAAAGCTGCTTTAAAAGACTAAAAGAGGATGTTTTTTGAACATGCTTGAAAATAAACTAGATACCAATGATGTTTAATAAAAGGCTATGTCCTGACATGGCACTGGAAAGAAATGAAGACTGGCACTAGTTGGGCTTTCAAGTAGTTGGCATTCTGCAAGTGGGATGTCACAGCTAAAAAGACCTACTCCTGCATTTTGCACCCACTCTTCATTTTGCACCCATTGTTGGGACACAGAGGATGTACCTATGGCAGAAACTGGGCAGTAATATGTAGGGTGAAGTGCTTTTCAGGTATCTAAAGTCCCAAGCCATTTTGGGCTTTGAGTGTCATCGCTAGTAATTTGAATTCAGACCAAGAGTGAATTGGCAGTTAGTGCCAATTAGTTTTATATCATGGGTTTGGTACCCCAATCAGCAATCTTTCTGCTGAGTTTTGCACTAACTGTATAACTACAGAATCATCTTCATGAATGCAGTCCTGTACTGCAGAGTGATGCACAGAAAGGGATTCAGTTACTGTGTACTGTGCAAAGTGAATTGCTTCCCTGCTGTTTCAGCAGTGAGGCCTCTGCATTTATATTAGCCAATGTAATATAATACTCTTTAGAGTGCATACATGTTTCTCAGTCAAACTTGGCTCCCTGTCTTGTGCTGTGCTCCCCCCCCCCCCTACCAACTTCAGAGGTAAAGTTGGGTATGAATGAGCAATACCTATAGCACTGATGCTTACCATATTCTTTTAGCAAAATTACTTGTGGATGGGAGTTCTGTGAAACTTTCTCAGGCACTCTCTTCTGAGTGAATGAAGATCTCATACTGTGTCTTAAGGAGCAATAAGTGCTGTGCTGATCAGGTATACAAACTGAGAGTTATCTCAGGAGATAGGAAACGAACTAGACAAGGAAGCCTGAGGATGGCTCACCAAATGAACCAGCAACAAGGCACAGAGACCTTCAAGGAAAAGCAAGGCCCAGAGCCCGAGGTCTAACAGTGTTAAAGAAAGATGGGGAAATGAGTCATAAGCAATAGAGTCTCAAGAAGGAGACTTGCTGTGAAGAGAGGGAAGTAGTGATGGGAAGCCAGAGAGGCTGAAGCAAGCAGACATTGAGGAAAGAACAGATCAGGAGAGACGATAAGGGTAAATGTGATGTAGGACTAGACTTGTTCTGAGAGCCTTACTGCATCTTCCAAAGTTGTATGACTGGAAGAAATGGCTAAAGGCCAGGAAATGAGTGACTAAAAGCAGGTAGGAGGCATCCCCTTCACGCCATACTAACAAACTTTCCAGAAGCCTCTGGTTGTTCACTATGATGAAGAGCTAATGACTGCTAGTTTTATAGTTTTATATATAGAGCTAGTGACTGCTAGTTTTGCGCCCTATTAGATCATTACTCACTGTGCAACTTTACACTGGAAAAAAGAAATGTTGTAGCTTTTTCAACTGGGATGGGCAGCTTTGGTCCTCTGAGAGTTTTGGACTGCAACTTCCATGATCTTTCATCAGTTGCTTTGCTGGCTAGAGTTGCTGTATGTTTGCTTATTTCCACCATATTCAGTTTTCTTTGTTGAAATTAGTATTTACTTTCAGAATTGCAAAGCTTGAGGAGTTTATCTAAGCATTTGTTTCTGCATTCCATTCTTGGATTTCTTTTATGTTTCCCTTCTCTTTTGCTTAATCTACCTGTATTCTGGTTCTTACAGAAACGAGACATCCAGCTGTTGAAAGCATACATGCGAGCAATACGTAGCGTCAACCCCAACCTACAGAATTTGGAAGAGACTATTGAATATAATGAAATCCTAGAGTAAGTGCAGTATTCCTGGCTATGTTAGGTGAGGTAACATAGTGAAAATTCAGTCATGGCCAGAGCAAGTATCAGCCAAGGTAACCTTGCTGGGAAATAATTTGAAGAGTCTGTGGAGGAAGAATCACTAGCGTCATCTCATAGGAGGATCTTATTTTGGGAATACAGATTTGCTTCGGTGGATAAAACAATTTGAAGAGCGGGTGGCATGACATTTTTAATGACTAAAAGTTATTTTTGTAAAGGAAGATGTGTCCATCCCTCCCTATACACATTTTCATTAAGGAAAATAATAGATTTTGAGCTTAAATAGAAGGTGTTGTAAACATATATATTGATTTTTAAAGAACTAATGACCTTGCTACATAATGATGAATACTTCAGACACAAGCAGTGTTTGCAAGTGTTTTGTAGCATACTGCAGTAACTCAACAACCCTTGAATATGAATTTAAATATTCATAAAGCACATTTAGATTTTCTTAGATTCTTAAGTTGTTAGAAACAACTTGATTGCTACCTGGGCGGTCAAAACGCAAAGGAGCAATAAGCTGAAGAGAGGTGGATACTTAAAATGCTTTGAGCAGATACTATCTTGATTTATTTGTGTGGGTGCGTACACACATACAGTATACACATCTCTCCCTGTTCCCATTACTATTCTAGCTGTCTCGCTATTCTAGATGTCTTCAAAATCTAGGCCCAAACTGGAAACAAGCTCTTATACACCTCTAGAAATAATATACCTAATTTTGTATGACAGATCTTTCAGGGAATGAAAATATCATGAATGTATTGTAAATGAGACTTTCCTGGCTATTTGAACACAATATTCTGTGGGCCCCATTGAATATGGAAACGCAGGCTCATTAAGTGTTTAAGATCATTATTTTATCTTTTATTTGCAGCCATGAAATAACTATGACATTGCTATTAGAGAAAGCAGGACTAGCTTGCATAAATATATTTATGCCGATTTTTATTAGGAAAATAGGATTAAATGCCTCTACTATCTGGGTTATTTAAAGCTGTTGTTTTACCTTCGTATGTACAGGTGCATACATGCCACAACACCAGCATTTTGATGGAAAGATGTGCCCCCCCCCCCCAGGCAATCGCAGTATGGCTTTTGGTGGAATGCTGTCCCTCCACTCATAGCTGCCACTGCTGATCTAAATAAATCTGACAGTTGCCCAACAATGTTATTACATGTGAGAGAGAATATTCAAGATTACGGGTTAGATTAGCAATAGTCTGGGTGTCCTTGTGTACCAGCATACATGATAGTGCCATGAGATGACGTGACTTACTGAAAAACATAACACTCATTTACAGTCTTCACCATTGATTGATTTCTTTCTTAATTTGCTTCTAGATGGGTGAACTCCTTGCAGCCAGCCCGGGTGACGCGATGGGGTGGTATGATCTCTACACCAGATGCTGTACTTCAGGCTGTAATCAAGCGTTCATTGGTGGAAAGTGGCTGCCCAACATCTATCATCAATGAACTGATTGAAAATGCTCATGAACGGAACTGGCCACAGGGCCTGGCCACCCTAGAAACTCGCCAGATGAACCGCCGCTATTATGAAAACTATGTGGCCAAACGTATCCCAGGCAAGCAGGCTGTGGTAGTGATGGCCTGTGAGAACCAGCACATGGGTGAGGAGATGGTGCTGGAGCCAGGCCTGGTGATGATATTTGCACACGGAGTGGAAGAAATCTAAAGACTTCGCTTGAAAGACTTTGCTTGAAAGGAAATATTTACTGTGTCGAAGCCCAATGATCCTGCCCCCCGGTGTGCTGCATCAGGGCATTATTCTTTATGTTGATTAAAACACCACTTACTAATTATACTGGGCAGGTGCCCAGCAACTTATGCAAAATGCCATGCTGCATTCCTTCCCCCTTGTGATAAGTTACTCCTGGTCTTGTGTTGACACACATTTCCAAGTATCTGCATAAAAGCACAAGAAATTCCTCTGTGCTCCTGAAAGAGCAGTGGGCTTCTGCCATAAGAAATGTTTGATTTCCTGATATGACTGAAGTGGCCCGGGTGGCTTGGTTTTAGTTCTAGGGTAAGAAGGGCATATGGATTTTGACTTTTAAAAATGCCAGAACTGAAAGTTTGCCCTGAAGACTTTTTCCCAGCTCTCCTCATCGGGCTTCCGTTGTTATTCTTTAAGGTATTTCTGAGCAGGCTGCACACTTTTCCATTGTGACCACTAGGATCAGACTTTCCACATAGTACCTCTGAGGCACAATTCTGCAGCCTTTGTGGTGGGAGGGAGGAATGGAGTAAGAGATGTAAGAGTACAAACACGAGAAGGCAGATGCCAAACTAGTGGTGCAAGTAATGCCAAATAAAATACACAGTACCAGTAGTGATGTTTTGGCATACAAGGTGTGATGGAGCCAAATAAGCCTAACCTGTAATGAAGACCATATCTGCAACTAGTGTGGGATGTGTGGCCTTACACAGGAGACAGGCCTGCCTTTTCAGAGGCTGTGGTTTTCAGCAAGAGGCAGCACCTTTTGACTGTCCCATTGCTGCCACCGCCAAATTAAATGAAGTTCTCATCACAAAGGCCAGATATCATCTTCTTCCTTGTATCCTTGAAGTGCCGCTGATGATGCCGCTGATGATGCCTATATCACAGGATGCAAGCCTTCAAGCAGACACCTTCACTCAGTCTGATCCAATACAGGCTCCTCTGAATTGTGTGTGCCATTTATGGTTGTCTCAACTTAACAACCTTGCAAAGAAAACAGAAAAAGAACATCAGCCGGGATGAAAATGTCTTTGTCCTCTTATGTTGACTTTTTGATAAATCTGTGTGTAATTTTTTTTTTGACATCTTGATGATTGTGTTCAGTATTTTTGTACTACTTTTGTCTTTGTATGTTTCCCTTGTATTTTTTTAAAATACAGTGGCCAGGAATGTCTTCAAGACCAAGTTTAGTTGACCTGTCAGATTTAATTTATTTTGCAGTCTTTTTACACAGCAACCCGTATTCATTTGTGTTGCTTTAAATATATCTTGCTTTAAACATTTGTGCTGGAGTTGGTGGTGCAAGGAATAAATGCATCAATAAAAGGAGCAGTTTGACTTGCTCTGACCAAAACATTGACAGTATAGTCCCTTCTGGGTAGCTTTCATTTCTTTTGACACCCTGGACATCATTAGGCAGAAACTTCAAAACAAACTTCAATTTCCTTTTGAATATTATTCATGCTGAAATAGTTGCTGTTAATGCTTTAACACACGGGATCTGCATAGTAGTTGACCAGAGCAATTGTAGTGTCTCCTGTCTAGAATTTCCACTGTTTCACAGACATTGCATTTTCAAAATCTCTGTGACAAAGAGACATCCTGGAAACCTATCAGCCAAAGTAATGGCTGCCTGGGGAATGCTACTACTGCTGCCATACTATGGATAAATGCAGCAAAATGCACAATTTGAGAGAAATGCTTATCCAATCATGTATTATATGTGTCATGAGTAGCCTAGTCCTACATGATGACCCAACTGCGGAGGAACTATATTTATCGAAATACAATTCTCACAGCAATTGATAGCCAGCAACTTGGTCTGTTTTCTGAAAGGGAAAATGAGGGCATAGTAGGAAGGTGTAGTTCATAAATGTCAGTCACCTAATAAGAATTTCCATTGCTCTCACAAAACGTCCATCATTCCCATGAATAAAGTGCATGATTAATGCAGCTTAGCTTTGCTTATGAACTCAACTATTCACCAGGCAGATGCTGTTTCAAGTTCCATTCTGTGGGAAATGCTTGTGCTTTGGAGTCTCTAAATCTGCAGCAGTCATTCAGTTTGGTGGCCTTTACCTTTTTGTAAACCTGTTCAAGTAGGTTTAGGTGTTGCTTTTCAGCTCAACTGTATCAGCCATAGTCTTCCTTTGCTCTCAGTCTGTGCTAGCACACTGCTCTATGCTTCTCTCCTTCAGCCCATCTCCTTGTTAATATTTTTTTCTTTACAAACTGTCTGTCTCCAGTATTGTTTATAATGGTACTTCAGCTTTCACATTTGTAACAATGCAAGCTGCTTAAAGTAACTTTGCAGTTTATGTCCGTTTTGTAAGTCATGTTTCTAAACCACCAGGAACACCAGGAACAGGCTTCAAAAGCTAGATCAGTTTTAGGGATGGAATGAGTTGTGCTCATATTCTTGTCAGTGATATGACAGGTTTTGAAAGGGGATCTTCTGGCTGGAAGTAATTTTCAGTTGAGTCCCTGTTGCTCAGGAATTTGAAAAAAAAAAAGCTGCTAAATCCAACCTAACAACTGCATCTTGAGCTAGCTGCATCTCTTCAGACTTTGTTTTCCCCCTTGATGTGTTGCTGTCACTCTTCCTGTGCTCTAAAGTATACCATAGGATTTGTCATGTCTACTGCCAGTATGCAAGTTGCTGACTGCATTTTGTGTTTTGCTGTTTCAATTGCATTGACTGCACTAATAAATTGCCTTTTTCCTGAATCTTTTACATGCTTTCTTCAGATTCTGTAACACATTGCATCCTGCATGAAAAGTTAACAAAGCTGCGTAGTTATTTTTTGCAGTAACCTCTTCCAGCAGTTAATGTGGTTCCTCAGTAACACAGTAGGAGTAAAATATACCTGTATATATTCATGGTGGATGTCATGCCACAGTTTAGCCTGTAGTTTACCAAATTTTGCTTGCCATGTTCTTCCCTAGTCTTCCAAATTTGGGTTGGGTGGGTGGGGGGGGGTAGGCACAGGGGATTCAGATTAATTCTAGATCAGAGTGATGGGTTGGTTTCCACCAATACACGATGAAATTTGACCTATCTTGCCTTTACTTACCCCAAGTCTAAGAATTTCAATAGATACAAAAGGACGTGAGAAAGGGTTATCCTTAGCTAGTGATAAAAGGCCTTATAACTAAAATATAATTTAGGCAGATGGGAAAGTGCTAATCCATTTCGAAAGATTTAAAATATGGTGCATTAAAAGAAAGAGGCCCTGCTATTACAAAGAAACATTAGGTTTGCTACACATGGAGCACCACTTATCTGCCACTGTTTGCTATACTTAAATCTTTTAGTTGATCTTGAGTGAGTTTAGCAAATAGATACTGAATGAATTCTACCTAGAATATCAGCTTTCTGCTCTAATGGTTTGACCTGTTTTTCTCTTCCTGGAAGCTGGAACGTGTCCAGAGGAGGCCAACTAAAACGATTAAAGGTCTGGAGACCATGCCCTATGAAGAGTGTCTTAAAAGAGCTAGGTTTGTTTAGCCTGCAGAAGAGAAGGTTGAGAAGAGACATGATCACCATGTTTAAGTATTTGAAAGGATATCACATGGAGTAACCTTTTTTCTGCTTCCCTGGAGACTAGGACTTGGAGCAATGGGTTCAAATTACAGGAAAGGAAATTCCATCTGAACGCTAGGAAGAGCTACCTCGGAGTGTGGTGGAGGCTTCTTCCCCAGGCGTTTTTAAATAGAGGCTGGATGGCCATCTGTTGGGTGTGCTTTGGTTGTGCTTTTCCTGCATGGCAGTGGGTTAGCCGAATGGCCCATATGATCTCTTCCAACTCATACGATTCTATTAATATATCTCAGTTCTGTCTAAACTTGCTGACAGGCTGTATTTGTGCCCAAAATCCAAAGGGGAAAGAGCAGGGTTGGATTCCTCACAAGAAACCTTTCTGGCAAGCCATTTTTGGTGAGTTTTATTTAGTGTCTATAAAATATACAAAATAGTTTTCTCTCTCTTCCCCCCCCCCCCCCAACTTATTTATAGCAAAACCAACTGGATTTACTGTCTGCACCTATAATCTTGGGTTATCTGATGTAAAGGACAAACAATGATTTTCCATTGTACCAGGGAATGGTAAGTAACAATTGTGTTGCTATTGAGGTCAAGAGGTCCTTTCACTCCTGGAAACTTAACCAGGGTTCAGAACTACTCCAGGGGCAACCACTTTGAGTAGCACTGCTTTACCTATGCCAATACAAGTCCATTTCGATTTTTAAAACTGGTGTGGACATAACTCTTGTATCGTTGCTAACAGGATGTTCCGTTAACTCTGCAAAACTCCCCATCTTTTATAATAAAAATGGGAAATAAAAGATATGTCATAAAACCAACACTTTATGAAATGGAGAGGCTAAATTGTAATAATCGGAAAGATCAAGGTTAAGCCAGTAGAGAGGACAAATAGCTAAGTTTCAGAAGCTAGTGCGTTGCTTAAGTCATTTCCCTCTAAGCCTGATTTTAGAAAGCACACTTGTGTTCTCAATTAAAACGTGAATACTGGGAGCATTTTATCAAATCCCATTTCTGGGTAAAAAGGATACAAAAAATAAGGGTGTACCTGTGACATCAACTTTTCTTATTTCAGTGCCATTCCACAATCTTGTCTCATATCTTGCATCAAGCTGTTTGTATATCTGGGAAATCACTACCCAAACCAGGTAACTTTCCTGCCAATTGGTTGATGGCGATAAACTCGGGCATTAGAATTTACAATAAATAAAATCCAAGTTTAGGGAACATTGATCTTACTACTGATAAATTCAACTTCCTAAACTGTGGCCAAGGGCCTGCTGGTGGGACTTGGGAAGGACTGAAATATGGCGTTTAAAAAGTTCTGTTCCCTATCAGTTGAGCTGGGGCATCTTTTATACAACAAGGGAGGCAACCCAGTGTAGTGATCAGGAGCGTCTTAGCATCTCAAAGACTAAAACTTATCTGTTATTTATTTTATTATTTATTTATTTGGTGCATTTATTGACCGCCGCTCTCAGCCCTAGGGCGACTTGCGGCGGTGTACAGCATATAAAAAACAGTTTACAAAAACAGAAGCAAGCAATCCACACAACAATAATACACAATACTATAAATTACACTAAATAATCCGCTCCGTCATATCGTAGAACCATATCCAATATCGTAGTCCATATTCCGTTCCAGGTGTCAATTACCAGTTACCGTATATTCAATTAAATGCCTTCTCGAAAAGCCAGGTCTTTAGGCTCCTACGGAAGGACAAAACGGAGGGCGCCTGTCTGATGTCAACAGGGAGGTCGTTCCACAGCCGGGGGGCCACCACCGAGAAGGCCCTCTCTCTCGTCCCCGCCAGACGTGCCTGTGAAGCAGGCGGGATCGAGAGAAGGGCCTCCCCAGATGATCTCAAGGCTCTCGTGGGCTCATAGGCCGAGATGCGGTCCGAAAGGTATTTTGGGCCGGAACCGTTTAGGGCTTTGTAGGATAACACCAGCACCTTAAATTGGGCCCGGTAGCAAATCGGCAGCCAGTGGAGCTGGAACAACAAGGGCGTTGTGTGCTCCCTGCGTCCCGCTCCTGTTAGTAACATGGCTGCCGCACGCTGGACTAGCTGAAGCTTCCGGGCCGTCTTCAAGGGCAGCCCCACGTAGAGAGCGTTGCAGTAGTCGAGGCGGGATGTGACCAGAGCATGTACCACCGTGGCCAATGTTAGAATCATTTGTGTACTGTACTCCACTTCATTAGATGTGATTTAGTCTTTAAACTCCCACAGGTTAGGTGTTCCATGCTACAACAGCCCAACATGGCCTGCCCCTTCAAATTTTCAAAACGTGTTACAAGGCAGAAAGAGGTTGCATACGCCTGTTCTGCAGCACTTATGGCTCCTTGCTATGGGTAGAGATATCAACGTAATATCACGTTTGGATAATTGTGATTAAGACAACCGAAGCTTATGCATACTACTGCCCTCCACTGAGTGTATTATGCATTGCACCTCTCTGGTACTATTTCAATGTTTCCACTCCCACCAGACAATTAGGGGCCCTCCCACACAGGCATGTAGCTCAGAATATCAAGGCAGGAAGACCCACAATATCTGCTTTGAACTGGGTTATCTGAGTCCACACTGCCATATATTCCAATTCAAAGCACTTAAGTCCCCTTCAGGGTGAGAAGGGTGGCATATAAATGTCGTAAATAAATAAATAAATAAATAAATAAATAATGTGGGATTTTATTCAGCTGTGTGAAACGGGCCTAAGCCTCGATTCACTCTAAAATGGTAACTGAGATGAATACTTAATTGGTAAAACAGAGCAGTTACAGGATTAGGAAGGTGTAATCCTATGGTTGGGAAAATAAGCATTTCAGCTCTTTGAGAACTGAGAAGTCCACCAATTTCAAACCTTATTATAGTCATGTTTCTTAGGGCACCCTATAGAATTAATGCACCTTGACACCACTTTAACTGCCAGGGCTCAAGCTATAAAATCCTGAGAGTTGTAGTTTCACAAGTTCTTTTGCTTTCTCTGCCAAAGAGTCCTGATCCCTCACTAAATTAATAATCCCAGGATTATATAGCACTGAGCCATAGCAGTTAAAGTGTTCAATCTGCATTAATTCTACATTGTAGGTGCACCTGAGGGTCCCCTGGTCGCACAGTGAGTTAAACTGTGGAGCTGTTGAACTTGCTGACCAAAAGGTTGGCGGTTCAAATCTGGGGAATGGAGTGAGCTTCTGTTGTTATGTCCAGCTTCTGCCAACCTAGCAGTTCAAACACATGCAAATGTGAGTAGATCAATAGGTAACGCTTATTAGATACCTAATATCAATCCTAATATTGATTAATATTAAAGGTACCTAATATTAATCAATAGATACCTAATAAAGGTACCTAATATTAATCAATAGATAAAGGTCCTCCGTGCAGTCATGCTGGCCACATGACCTTGGAGGGGTCTGTGGACAACACTGGCTATTCAGCTTAGAAATGGAGATGAGAACCATCCCTCAGACTCAGACACGACTAGACTTAATGTCAGGGGAAATCTTTACCTTTACTTAGGTGCACCTGTGGATCCAGCATCCAGGTTCTTCTTTGAACCAAGCCACAAAACACAATATAATCTTGGGCCAGTCATTCACACTTGGCCTAGGCTCATCTCATGGGGTTCTCACAAAGAAAATGTGGCGGGAGGGAAAAAGTCAGGTACTCATTGCAAGCAATGGGTGATTGATATATACACTGTTTACTGTTTAATGTTTATATTCTTTTCTGTATCCATGAATTGTTATTTTCTGAATCCATGAATTGTTGTAAGCCGCCCAAGTCCCTTCGGGGAGGGGGCAGGATTTAAAGTTAGTATGTTAGCAAAAGCAAAAAGAAATAGGGAGAGATATGCCTGATTAAATGCACAATTCCAGAGGTCAGCCAGAAGAGATAAGGAACTATTTTTAAACAAACAAATGAAAGTGGAAGAAGACAATAGAATAGGAAGGACAAGATACCTCTTCCAGAAAATTAGAAACATCGGAAGTAAATTTCAGGCAAAAATTGGCATGATCAAAAAACAAAGATGGCAAGGACCTAACAGAAGCTGAAGAGATCAAGAGAAGATGGCAAGACTATACAAAAGCTCTGTATAGGAAGGATAATAATATCAAGGATAGCTTTGACGGTGTGGTGAGTGAATTAGAACCAGACATCCTGAGGAGCAAGGTTGAA